TATTCATTCTAAAATCTAAGCCTAGTTATATGTAAGTAGATTATTCAGGTATGTCAAATTATTATACAGTAGTTCCTATACATTACGGCGAATTTATTAAATTTAGCTGAAATTTGGTCACCAAATTTAAACATTTGGTCACTGAATTTAAATTTTAGTTGCCGAATTTATTATTGATAAATTAACGATGAACCTTAAAAAAATTTTTTGGTCACCTGATTTAGGCTGATAACACGTCTAACCCATCTTCCCCACCGTCTAACCCATCTTCCCCACTATCCAATTTGCTATTAATGCTTCTCATTTGACGATTTCACCATCCATTTGCTATTGACGCTCTTCATTTAATGATCAAATTTATGTATGTACATATAGATGTGCTAATATAAATAGTGTTCTTCTAGGCATCTCTAGCTAGAGATGCCTAACGATAATATTTCGGGCTTAATAGGCAATTAAAATGCAAATAAATCACGTGGTTGCCATTTTCGTATAGCACAAAGGTAATACAAAAGATGATCATCACGGATCAGTCTGACAAAACAAAAACAATAACAAAAGAGTGAAAAAAGTGAAAAAAATCAAAAATACCAAAAATGTCCATCTGAACCTATTCTGATGTACTAATTAAAAATGTCGAGAAGACAATTTTACATATAAAATTTGCCTTTACTCTAACCTTATGCAACCCTAACTTTAGTTAAAATCATATGATCAAATGTAGTTTTATACTAGAGATGCATAAGCTAATACCTCTGGCTAGAGATGCCTAGAATTTTCTATATAAATATTACGTATTGCATTATGTATACATACATTTTTTATTGTAATTATAATATTTGTATGTATACCTATATCAATATATATATACACATATATATGTATATTCATACACACCTGCATTAAAAGAAAATGGATACTAGTAATACCAATAGTGTTTTATATCTATTTTGTAGCAAGAAGAAGTTCAAAAATTACTGCGGACTCAAAATACATCACAAAAAAATACATTGCAGTAGAAAGACTAAAAATATCTTTTTAAACGAATTATTTTTCTGTTCACTTTGCCTAAATTTAACATTCAAAAGAAAGAGTAAATGGAGCCATCATGAAACATTAAAGCACTTTAATTATAATATACCTCCTAAAAATCTATTAATTCTTCCCAATACTCATATCAATGAAATAAAAAACACATTAGTTTATCTTATTCAATCACGCCTTAAACTTCACTCAAAACATTCTGATCCACAGACAATTTTGGCACCACTTACTGAATCAGAATTTATTCTATCTTTCAAAACAATATTAAACGATATTCGATTTGTCATCAAAGATATATGTGTAGATTTAGTAGATATAGTGTATATGATACTCTTTCAAGTATTTTTAACCAGGAAAATTGGGGCCAATGAGTATTTGAGCAAGAACAAAGATCTGAAATTGTGTTAGTTGAATTATCTCAATTATTAATATCAGAGATTAAATCTTATAATTCTCTTCAAATTAATCCAGAAAAGCCAAAGATGATTATAATTTGGAAAACCCGTATAATTAAGGATAAGAAAGGAAAAAAATCTGAAGCAGGTTGGATTACATTGAAATTTTTTGTAGAGCAATTTTATTAAATATTTAATATAAATTAGATAGCAAGAAATTTAATAATAATATATTAATTATATAATTAAATATTGTATATTATTGTTGCAGAATTTATTACAATTATATTGAAACACATATTGTTATTATTGTATAATTTAAATAAGTTTTAATAATCATTAATTATAGTGTCTTTCTCAAAATAGTTTGGTATTTCATAAGTATAAAAAAAATTAGATCGGTTTTAGCATTCCATAATTTCTAAAATTGCAGATTTTAGACCTTCGCCAATACCACCATCTCTCATAGTTCTGCGAAAAAAGTATGTAATATGATCATAATTTTTTTTTTCAACTCTACAGCATGAAAATGCTGATAACCCAATATTTCGATATATGTCTATAAATTCAGGTATATGGTATACAAGTACATGAATATATGGAGTTATGTTTATTGGTCGATAAAGCCTACGAATAAATCCTGGTAAGTTTATATTGCCTTGAGATCGAGTTAAAAAAAGTTTTAACCATTGTTATGCTTTTTGATAAAATTCATTACCGGATATGTTTAAATTATGCATATCAATATATAAGTTATTAAAGCCATTCCACAATTCTCTAATTATAGCAGCTCTTTGTGGAACAAATATAACATTTAAATTAAAATTTCTTAAAACTTTGAGTTTA